GCTTTGTTATTCCATGCTGTAGCAGTCAGAGGGCAGAGAGGGGGAGAAGGTACTCTTGGCTGCTTACCTCAAAGTTCTGTGCTACTGACTTTCACAGAAGTTTGTTCCGTGTTCAAAAAGCTGTACTTTAGTTCCTCATGTAAGAAGCAAAGAGAACCAGCAAGATTCACCTATACAGTAATCTCAAAAGAGTTTGTTTTTCTGAATCTAACAACTGCATAATTATCCACTAAAAACCATACCTTTCTGATGGAAGGTTTTGAAACTGAAAATTCAGTTATCAGAGTGAGAAGTTCAACCAAATTGCCAGAGATAACTGACATCCATTAGGATCTGAATATTCCCAAGCGCTCAAAAAATCATTGAAAATGCATGGTTCTGTCTGGATAGTATTGAAGAAAAGACGCAGACTGATTCAATGGAGTCACATAAGATTAATCCCCTAAAACAGAGTGAATTACCAGGACCAACCAACAAATACTTTCTAACTACCCCATTTTTAAAAAAGGCTACATCAGCCAAAAAAAAAAAAGTAATTCCATGACCCAGACAGCTGTGGAAATCAGGTTATAAGTTGTTGACAAAGTTTAGAGGACAAAAAGAGAAAGGTGTGATTTGCTTCCCCCCAGCATAGTGTTCTTTCAAAGCTGGTCAATAAAATCTTACCCCAAAAGAATTTTGGCGTGAACTTCTTTGTTAGTCCTTGAGATTTCCCTCAAAGAGGTAATTTCTGCATCAAACCAAAATCCTCTCTCTTCTGGAGTCTCTACATTGTAGTTAACCATCATCGTATCACCCACTTTTAGTTCGCTCCACTTCAGAATGGTTCTTGCTCGTGGTCGAAGATTACTGGCTTGCATTTCTACTATACCATTCTCTGGGTACCTTGAAAAACAAGAATGAACACACTGTAACTAATACTTCCACTATGAAATAAATTAAAGGGTAACATTTTTTAATATACTTAAATGACTTAGAAGCCCAAGTTTCTAGTTCACTTTTGAATACTGACCTAACATGCTTTTAAATTTTTTCTTGTAAACCAACTACAGTATTTGCATTTTACCTAGATAAAAGCATAAAAAGTCTCCACTGCATCTACCAATAGTAAGCAAAATATCTAACTGCATAATTCTAGCCAAATTAATAAACAACACCAACAAGGAACAAAAGTATTCTAGGGCCTTGTAACCTATACAGTGGCTGACTGTAAAGGGTTTCTTTTCTTAAATTAATATATGAAGAATCTTAAAAGCTAAATAAGACCACAGTTCAAGCTTTCTGTCACCAAGGTACTGTAAGGATTGCAACGCTGTGGAAAGAATTCAGAGTATATTGAATCGTATTACGGTATTAACATTTTTTTAAGAAAGGAACCTAGTTGCTTTGTACGATGGTTTAAGGAGACTTAAGAAATGTTAAGTTTAACAAGCAGATGCTCTCACTTTCTAAGTGCTGATGCATTACATTCTACCATAGACATATGTCAACTTAGAATTGTACTGCAGATAACTCTAATGAGAAAGACTGCATTTTTTACTTTAGGCATAGCTACTTAGCAGAGTTAATAGAGGAATATCTGTTTTATTGATAGCTATGAGTAAGTGGCACTGAGAAAATATGCTCAAGCTTCTGTAGGACCCAACTATTCAATATTAGAACACAGCCTCTTTAAATCCTCTAAATAAAACTGTTTTTCAGTTGTAATGACCAGAGTTCTACCTGCAAAGAAGGAAAATGTTATAGCTTCAAAGGCTGAACACCTGCTAACAGAAAAGAATTTAAAGATGCCGTGTTACAAAATGCAAAAATTAAACCTACCATGTTGAAATAAAGGAAGAAGGTTCCGAAAGTTCACTTCATTACTGGTACTACATAGTAGGGATCAATTTATAACAAGGGGATGCATAAATAACAAGGACCACTTAAGAATGGTATTTCACAATTAGCCATTATGTACAAACATATTTCAGTAAGAATTTAAATGAAGATGAAATAAAAATCAAAGCCTGAAGCCAATTCCTAGTAAAGAAGGCTATTTTGTTGCTTTAAAAAAAAGTAGTAATCAGAATAAATTAGACATCCTACCATGTCATTTCTCCTGAAAGTTTTAGCAGTTAGCATAAGTTTATTAATATGATATGCTATAACAAACAGAATATGCCCGAAAATCTACCCTTTTAACGTAAGGGTTAAATCCTATATATATATGAATTGGAGGAATGCTGGAGTGCGACTGTCAGATGACCCACAGTAAATAAGATACTTCAGGAGTCCAGGGAACGGCATACACTAAGGTACTTCATTACTAGGTCTCATAGCCTGGTATTGCAGAGACAGAAAGACAAACTTTCTCTCCTGTACCTTTCACTTCCCCTCTCAGCTTCCAACTCAGAATATGGCCTTAAATCTTGCTGGATGACAGATTATAACTTAAAAACAAACAACTGTACGCTACTAAGAAATCACAGTTGTTTAAAAGTATCCAAATCTAATCTTTATACATAAACTGATGACCAGCTCACAAACATGTCTATCCCTAATGGTAACCTAAAAAGCCAAACCACAGTATTTGTTTTTACTATTCACCACTCCTCTATAAAAATTATAAAAGGATTTAGAACTGAACATAAGCGCACACACATTGTATATATTTGAAATCTTAAGTATGGACATTTGTAGGACATAAATGATCATGACATAAATGGGCTGACATTAGTTAAGGAAAGGAGAGCACAAGCTACAATCTCACCAAAAGAAGGTTTTATTTCAAATGTAAATTTTTTTTTTTAAAACCTTGAAGACAGTCTTCATAATCATAAAGGGGAACATTAAAAAAATTACTCTGTCTTGCAGGTCTCCTTTAAGGAAGAGAACACAACTATTCTGTAGGTATAAGATGGATAAAAAAGATTTGGTCATGAGAATGAAACTATGAAGTATAAAAATACACATGGGAGAAGGCAGATTTGCCTACAGGGAATAGTGATATTAAAAAAAGACCCAAAAACTCTATGATCTCCATTTTATTCTGAGGCGTAAACAAATAAGGCATTACAGTCCAGCAGCCTTCTAAAACTTAACATTAATTTATTTTTAATTTACTGATTAGACTCCAGAGACCATATCCTGCACAAAATCCTTTCCCAGAGACACCAAATCTAACAAAGGAGCACAGGATGCATATAAGCTAGCGGATGAGTTTACTTCAACCTTTTCAAAGGGGAAGAAGGATCCAAACATCAGAATACTGCAGATCTAAAATAAGGATGAAAGAGCCTGAGAAATCTAATTTGTATAGACTCTAGAAAATACAAAATTGCAAACAATAAAACAAGCAGTAAATGTGTGGGATAAATGGGGATAGAAAGATTAACTAGGCAAATTAAGGATCTTCTGATGTCGCTATAAGTCACATGAATTAAAACTGAAATGATTTATAAGATCATCAAAACACAACAGATTAATCTACACTCAGAAAATCTGCTCTCTATTTAAATATAAAACCATAATCCATTTATTTTTTAAATGCAAATTTGAAAAAAAAAAAAACATTTATTTTATTATTATTACTATCCTAGCTTGGATCCAGACTCTTCCTTGCTTTATCTATCTGATCGCAAGTACAATCAGTGAAAATCTTGAATGGAAGCTTACTCTCCAAGGAACTTCTATTATTTTCAGCCTCTCCCCTGACATACATTTCATATGAAGAAACCACAAAAAGGAAGGTTGAAAGTTTAGCATGGAGTGGTCAGACAACATAAGCAAACGGATTAATTTCTAGCACCAAAAAGAGTGTGACTTCACTTAACGCAGCAAAAAATATTGAAACAAATGGCTTCCAAAAATGAGGAGGAAAAAAAAGTAAAATCTCTAATGAATACTTTTCTTCTATTATGACCTGGGCAGAAATCTAAATTGAGAGCTTTCCTTTGAAGAAAAAGATATAGGTAGCTCATTAGACAAGACTTGTGAGGAAATTAATGCTTCAAGGCATTAATATCCTTCAGTCGCTAATTTCTACAAATCCTAGACTGTCAGAGTCAAAAAAATGTACTTAGCGAAGACATATCGGCTGCCAGTGGATGTGGACCAATGCATTCTAATTAGAACGCTGTCACATTGCCTCAGCTGTCGTGTATTAATCCCCCCCAAATGGCTGTGAAGACGCTTTAACTAAACCTCATCAAATGAGCTTTATTTAAAGTGCATCCGCAGACATTTTGAAATACAGGGGGCTTAACGCACATGAAACTGAGCCGTTTTAATTAGAGCGGCTGTCCAGGAACCCCTCTAATTAAAATGCCCCTCCTGCCCTTCCCCCAACCCCTGAGCACATGTATAGGCAGCCATCATGCCAAAGGAACCAACTTTTCTCAGAATTCAACTCCCTCTTCTGTCTTTGCCTAAAAGGTAGTTATGGCCAGATATTGACTGTATCTGCCTTTCTTCAATTGTCAATACTACCTGGGATCTATAGAGACAATGTGGTAAAAAAAGGTGGATAAACAATTCCATAAAGTATTTGGTCCTTCAAGAGACCTTTTCATGCCTCTCTCCAAAAAGCACTGCTTAGCAGGCAATTCCTGAAGCACACCAAGGCCACGTAATATCTGCCACAACAGGACTATAAAGAGAGAGCGCCTTTAAGTACTGTTTTGGATGTTAGCTATAGTAGACATTATTATTAAAATAAAGTTAGTACTATACTCCTAAAAAGGTGTTAGTGAAGGAAGACCCCTAAAGTACTTGGCCATATATGACCTTAAAAGAGTACATTTTTACTTTCTCTTTAAATGTAAAATAACTTTTAACTACCAATCCCAGACAATGGTATCAAAGTAGTTAAGCCATTTACCTGTATTCTTGTTGCATTAACTGCAATTGTTATTCAGCCAAGGATTGGGGATGAAACAAGAATACTCATGTATACTGCAGAAAAGGAGTTCGTTTGCGTTACCTCTCCACCTCCCATATTATTCAGCAAGTTTTAGCAGTGGATTGCTCAATTTTATAAAAGGTGCAGAGGAAAAGGCATGTTGATTTAACCGGATAGCTTACCGGTTATTCTTTAGCTCCAGGCAGGAGCAGTCTGGCAGGGAAGAAAGGGAAGCCATGCGGTGCCCCAGCCGGAATTAGAAGGCAGCAGGGCAGGAAGGAAGGAAGGAAGAAGGGGACTAGTACCCATAGCCTAAGAAGAAAACAGGGAGCAGCCTAATGATGCATCAATCAGGCAATCAGCCGCTGGTTCACAGGTACTCCTTCCCTTCCAGAGCAGGGCTTCCAATGGGCTGTGTTGTCTGTCTGGGCTTGCCTCCTCTCCTGCTCCTCCAAGCCAAAGGACCCAGGGAGCCTGTAACTGCTCCCAGCAGTAGCTGTGTCAGAGCTGCTCTTATAAGTTAACTGTTTAACCAATATAATTAGAGGAAATTAAATAAATATTTTAAACTATATTTACACCCTTAGATTTAATTAATCTTCCTGCCATGAAGCTCAGTTGATGACTGGTTCTGAAAACAATACCAGATATGGGGCTAATTATGGTAAGAGATGCTCCAAAAGGAGCATGTAAATTCAAATTACTTAAGTCTGCAATTTCATAAAGTAGTAAACTATGTCATCCAAACTGTCTTTCGTTTTCCTAACTTTGCCCCTGCTCTCCACCAAAAAATCCAGAGGAGACCTAATACTATATGCCAAGTTTCATTCTGCATTTGTAGTAAGTTATTTACATAACAGATAAAACTAAGACTGTAACTACAAAAGTACAATGAGCAACTACAGTATAAGGTAAGTGGAAAATACAAGGCTACATAAAATCAAAAGGAACAAATTTGTATAAAAGAACAAAGAAAAATCCTTTTGAAAACTGAAGAACTAAA